TCGCTACGTCGGTAGCAAAAGTAATCATACTCTCTTGGCTGTGTAGCTACGTAGGTAGCAAAAGTAATCATCATCTCGATATAAATAGAAGTACAGGTGGTTGTGTAATACGTGTCGTAAATGTGGTGCACATGGTAGTTACGTATATTTCATTGGCTGGGATAATGAGGGGATGCTTCGAAAACCTGACCCCCACAAAGAAGTCCCTGGACCATAAAAGTGTGAGAGCCACTCTTTAATATGTGCCTGATGTTAAAATAGGCTAAACTGTTGGCATGATCTCATATATTCTATACCAAACTTTCGAACAATGTCGTTTTTCCAAAGAAATTAGGAAGAACGAAAAGTTTAGCGAAAGCCAAACAAGATGTTTGTGTTTAGGACTAACAAGTAATTAGAGGACTTTTTAATTGTTGGCCGTATTCTTTGTCTAGTCAGCGATTCGGAGAGGATAGATGGGAGGAGTGAAACAAGGCGAAACTCATTATCCCAACACATGAGTGAAGTTGCTTAATGTGTCGTGAATGACACTTAGTGGCCGGATGCAAAGTTCCAATCTCGACTTCCAAGAATCATTTGAGCATGAAAAGGCCGCCGTTTTATGGCTTTCCCGCGACCCGAGAACACCTGTTCATCCCTGCAGTAATAATTTGCTTCATTTTCTTTGCTGCTGGTGCTGCTGTGTATCACTTTACCCTTCAAAGGTTGTTTTCTTTTTTCTGTAAAGGGGACATATTTGGCCTTCTTCCAGGCTGGATCAGGAGCCAGCCTTCTTCCAGGCCCGTATACTGCTTGGCCAGTGGCCAGTCCAGCTTTTGTTATCGTGACAACCTGGGGTACAGGTAAGAACCAAATCCTGACATGAATAGCAAAAAATGATAAAACTATACAGTAGTACAATAATTAAATGCGGAATTAACCACCAGGGGGCAATAGAGTTTTGCTCTTGTAAACTGCAGTGATAGTAGTCGTTTTGCAGAGAGGATAAAGAATATATGACTTGTGAGCATCGATATAGTTTCTCTATCTGTGTAGCTCATGGTTTTGATTGTTTAAACAACGCAACATCCACAGGAAAAATGCTTTCACCGTAACCATTTTTAAGCGGTGGACGCAGTTGTTCATAAACTATATACACAGTGTGAATGTAGCGCATGGATACACTATCAAACCCAAAGTGAGTAGCGGTCCACAGATAGGTGTTTTCGTGGCCCTGAGAATGATCGATTACCATCAACGTGCGACCAAAATAACCTTAAAGGCGACCTGCTCTATAATCATAGGAGTAATATTGATGAATGCATCTCACGCGGGGTGAACATTTGACAGCAGCTGTAAATGTTTTGAGCTGAACTTGAGCAGCAGCAGGCTGAAGAAGAGTGGCAGTCTCTCTCAAAACAGCATTCCTTCGGTATGATTATTGGTTGGCTCGATCATGCGAGCTTGAGAAAGTATTTTTTAATTAGACAGGATTGAAGGGATTGGGGCTGGATTTGAAATGGCAACTTGGCGTTTGTTTGTGAGGAATTATCACTTGACAGGAAATTGTGCCTGATAAGATGCCAGGATCGTCAGGCTGAAACCAAATATGATCAATTTTTAATTTTTTTCAGAAGTGGATATCATTAGGCCGTCCCAAAGTGTGACTCGGGTCCTCCAGTCCTGGAGCAAACCAAGCGTCAAATCGCGGAAGCGTGTGACTTTGACAGCACTGTGTGAGACTGGAAATTTGATCAGATGAAAATCCAGATCTCATTAATTGTTACCATCGGGGATGAACAGGGGGCTTGACTCTCAGACCGAGACTGTTCGAATTCAGATTAATAGAATGATGGATGAGCCTCTGCACATGAAAACTATGAACCCTTTAGAAAACTTCATTGACATTGATAGTTGACCTGTACATTGCTTCTAATATGGAAGCAATGTAAAATTCTGTTTTGAATGACGTTTTACTTTTTATAAACTCTCAAAATTGCTTCACCGTCATCCTTTTGAGGCCAAATAAATCAGCATTTTTCAGGCTTCACGTACAGTGCTACCTTGACTTCCGAGTGCCTCGATATTTTCAGTCTTATATGAGCTGTAGCTTCGTTGATTTTTTTTTTCAAACATTTTTTTTCTTCATGTTGGCGGCCATAATTTGAGTTACTTTCAGAAGATTTTGGACTGAAAAAAACAGCTTCCTGAAGTTTGTGGAAAATTCAGTCTGTCACTTGAGCAAGTTACACTCTTTAGCAGCATGAAATTTGGTCAGCTTGTCAATAATGAGTAGACCCACAAAATCTTCTCTGATGCAAAATCACAAATGGTTTTCAATTTCGTCATTATGCGTGGGTGGAGTGAGGCCTGATAGCATACAACTACTTTTTCAAAGAAGTCCACCAAGTTCAAGTTGGAACAAATGTGTGACCAAGGCCCAAGAGATCCGTAGGCACCCCTTTATGTCCGGAATGTGGACTTGCAATAACACAAGATATAAATCCTCCTTCTGGTGGGAGCGCGGGGGCCCACTTTGTTGCTACCACGGTTGTAATGAGGGCCCAAGCACCAGGAGCTCTTGGAATTGTCGCCTTTATTACTTTTCCCCAACTACCACACCAGCAATTCTGGTGCAAATGTATTTCCGGGGGGGGGGGGGCAACAACATAACATGAACCCCCAAACTCGCTCCCCTGGAGTGTTACAACAATTTCATTTCACCAGTTAATACTAAACGATTCGACATGTCTGTCATCGCATTTTTTCCAATAAATAAAATTTCCAATTCAAGCTATATTTTCAAACCGTTCCGATTTCAAGTCTCACATTCTGCATTTCAACGATTCAATTCATTCCGTACTGTCCCAGTTTAGCATCCGCTCTCCAGCATTGACTCACAATTTCTCAAGAACTTGCGTTCTCGTCTTGAACTTGGTCTCCGACGGAACCAACGACCTGTTCTCGGTGATTTCGGTGGCACAGTTCCGAACAAACTCAGTTCAGTCGCATGGAGAAGAACCCGCGCCGAGCTCAATCCGAAGCGGGGGAGAAAGTCACCAAGTTGAGGCGCTCATCAACCTCTTCTGAAGAGAGAAAGCGAACACCTCTAGTTGTGCAAGCGCCCCGATTATGCAGCACTAAGCAACAGACGTCTCAAGTGCCTCCACGCAGGCTTCCACGATTGCTTTAATGGCTTCTCATCAGGCCGGAAACGGCAGCCGTATAAATAATGCAATATGTTCGCACAGCCTGGTGTCAAAGGAGCATAAAGACTAGCTGGGGGTAATAATTATCTCGCCGTCGTCCTGTTGGGGGAAAAACATAATTAGAAAGAATTAACTGATGGCTCCAACGGCCTCTGATGCTGAGCCTTTGATGGATGCTAGTGCTATCGCGCGACATTATCAATACAAAATCCGTCTTAAAACTTCACGCCTGTTTCATCATCGCTGCATACTCACCGACCAGCCTCGGCGTACGGGAATTCTGATACCATACTGCCCGGTCAACTTCCACCATCACATTCCGCTGCTGTTTTTACAGAACAGCGACACGGCAGAAAAAGCAGTCAAGTGGCAGCGTTTGCGGGCGGTGTAAAACGGACAATTGGCAAGCGGTCAGTCATCTTGTTTCTTGGATGACTGTTTTGACTGCTTCACTCACAGTTTCACAGCGAAGCAGATGTAGTCTTTCATAAAAAAAAAAATGTACTTAGGTCAAGCGCAGCATGGATGAGTTCACCGCATTTCAAGTGTGGCCCAAAGGTAACGCGCGCTGTCCTCAATGCCGCACTTTCCGTTCTCCACTGAGCGTTTTCCGGGAGCAGCTGGTCTCGCCCGTACCTTGTGGTGCCGGAGCTTGTCCCAGCTGTCTTCGGGCAGTAGGCGAGGTACACTCTGAGCTGGTTGCCAGCCAATCTCAAGGCACACATAGACAAATGACCTTTTGCACTCCCAATCATACCTAGAGACAATTTCAAGTGTTCCAGTAACCTGCCAGGCATGTTTTTAGAATGTGGGAGGAAACCGGAGTACCTGGAGAAAAGCTTCGTAGGCTCAAGGAGAACGTGCACATTCCACACAGGGAGGCCGGAGGCGGAATCGAACCCTGCACCTCTGCACTGTGAGGCTGGCGTGCTAACCAGTCAACCACCGTGCCCCCCATGTTAAACATGGCACCAAAAAAAGAAAGAAAGTGTGTCATGTAATATTTCTCCTTTAAGACACCCTGAAAGTGTGGAACTGGTGCTGATGAAGCATCCGCTGTGACCGGGGGTCAATCAGCAGAGAATAAAGATGAAGAGCCACATCCGCAAGCAGAAACGTAGCAGAGGGGGAAGGTGGGATCGACACTATTTCGGTTGGGGAAGCAGATGTAAATGAGCTGACTTTGCACTAGCATCTCTCGAGTGTGGACACGTGTGTGTCTAAAAATAGTCAGTGAGCATCGCGCAGTCTGAACGCAGGTCAATTCGCGTGGCGGTTGAAGGTGCTTCGTCTGGATCCTGCTGATCGAAAGGCAAATAAATGTGAGTGAAGGTCGGAGGATCGGGTACATCGAGACAAGTTATTCTGAGTGCGTCGCCTGTCCTTATCCTCCTTATCGATTGGAGAGAGTGGGGGGGAAGGCATGGGGAGGGCGCTTCTCTCATGGGTACCGAAGAGGATCAGGAGGTCATGCGAAAAAGCTTTTTAGGAACCCGAGCTCCCACAAAGCACACAACACAACATTTTCCATCAACATTTATTTACAAAAACAGAATAATTTGAGGAGGTGAATACAAAACAAAACAAAACGTGCTATTATGATAAAAAATACATTATCATACATAACATATAAGGTCTGCATCCTTCTTTTGGGCGAGGAGGGCGGGGGAGCTGGAGAAGCTTGTCGGGGGATTATTGCATTTCGGGGTTTGGTGTTTAAGGCAATGATGAGACAGACGAGGAGGATACAGGAACACTTCACGTTACAATGAAGTCGGATATAGCATTATTATTATTATTACTTGTATTATGATTGAAGTCTTCACCACAAGACACAAATATCAACAGGTTGAAGAGAAAGAAACGTGAAATAAAGCCTCACAAAATGGTTGGTCCACATATTAAGAGAAGATTTCAAAGCTGTGTGTGCGTGTGTGTTTGTGTGTGTGTTTCTCCACAAGGTGGGCATCTTGAGCTTTTGGGTGACATTTCAGAATGAACCTCAACTGCGTTGTAACTTTGACAGGTGAACTAAATTTGACCTTCTTGACATTTTTGTAAATTTTGTACGTCCATTGCCCTTCGTGGCCCGCTCATTGTGAGCGTCTCTTTTTCCACGCAGCTAAAATGACGATTCCTTTTCATACTCGGCATCGGTCATTTGCACCAACAATGTGTGCTGCCTTTATTTCCCCAGAGATCTTCCAGCAACAAAGATGTCAGACTTCCTTGACATCCAATCACCTCTCACTTCAACCTTCATAGCCGCACATATCGCTCAGACCAGAAACCGCCGCTGTCTGCAGGTTACAACAGAGCCACAGAGAGACCCGATGGGGTCTCCACGTGGACGTCCTTGACCTGTTTTCACTTGAGCTCCTTGTCGTTCTGAAACGTTGAACAATTGAAAAGTTCAAACTCGGTCAAGTGAGGTTCATCTGTAAATGTGACAGTGCTCTTCAGGTCCATCCTGTAATTCCAACCCAAAGACGAATACAGTGAACCACCTCGACTAACGGTGGATAGCGACCACAGTTAACATTCTCAAGTAATCTGTGCCGACCCAAAAATGTTCAGAATACCCATAGATGCCACAAGATGGCGGTAAAGCATTTTTTTTTTACCCCCATTGGACAACACAATGGGTGGACTAAATGAAGTCTTTCCCCTCAGTTCAACATAGTTCCTTGTTACCAACATGCAACATTTATACACTCACGAACAACCATACACACCCACGTTCACACTGTCCGTCACTGAGTGGAGAACCAATCCCACGCTTCCAGCACACAAGTTCGTCGAGTATATAGGTGGTTCACTGTATCGATGACCTTTTTGGAGCAGTGTCACGCGTGTGTGTGCTGCATTATGAAAGAGTCCCTGCAGTTTGTCCCTCGTTGTGCACGGTAGTAGCGCCGTCAGCCAGTTTCATGGGAGCCGCTCGGCAGGCCTGGGTCCTCGGACCTTCAGTACGGGTACTGCTTCTGCTTCTTGCCGGCGAAACATGACAACCAGGTGCACAGCAGCATGGCGCCCGCCGCCCCGGCCCCCGTGCAGTAATAGGCCCAGCCGATCTGGCAGGAGCCTGCAAAGAAAGCATTGGAACGCTAAATTGTTGATGGCAGCACTTGGGGATGTGCGCCGAAGCCCCGTTGATCGCAGCACACACGGTGCAGAACCCTCTGCAATCGGTGAAAATTCCTTATGCCATGTCCTGTCGTGTTTTCAATAGTTGTCACCTACACAGAATGTCGAGCATCTGTAATCTAACAAATGAATGAATCCGATTCACGCAGTGCGTAGAATTCCCGCAGGAGAACGTCACACTGATGAGCAGGTGGTGTGACAGTGTTAAAAAAAAAAAAATGCAGTTGAAGTTATTTCCGACCTAGGTGATGGTCTAAACACGCTGATAACACCATCATACGTGTCAGTTTTGCAATCACTTGATGCGTGTGTACTTTAAAAAAAAAAAATCTAACTATTTCAATGATTGTAATGCCTGCTCTTTTGGAAAATGTCAAGGTGGAGATTTCCATTTTGAGAACTCCGTTTTTTTTTTTGCTGCCTTTCCTCATTGCATTGAAATACTGAAGTGATGTACAGTAATTGTATAAATGTTCCTTCATTCGAAACAATAAAATATTAAAGAAGATACAACAGGTACAGTATGCATTACCACAACATTATTTCATATTTAATACAGAGCAGTGATTCATTTGTAAAATTGTGACTGGAGCAGGTCTGTTGCTCGACAATGCTTGATGGCAAAAACTTGATTTCACTTTTGAAGTTTTCTATTGCATCAGCACGCCACTGGTGAGCACTACAGAAATACGATATGATTGCATGGGCTTCAAAATACCCAATAAAGTCGTTTCTTCAGAATGCATAACCTTTCATTGTGCTGTCATCCTACGTTTTTGAATTCTCATGAAATGAACCCACTGTGACAATAAACGCCTTGTGTTGTTTGTTTTGTGTTTACTTCAATTCAGAGAAGAATTGAAGCAACCACAAACGTGTTTATGCGTGTTTTTTGTTCTTTTTTTTTTTTCTTCTAGCGGTTGCATCATCTCACCGAGCTGAAACTGGTCCGAGCTGTTGCTGCACGTCTGTTGCACTTCCTCGCTGTCCCATCCAAGCGGATAGAGCGCGCAGCCGGATCCAATGAGCAGGCCTAGAAAATGAGAGTAGACCGCAGGTTAGTGAGAAACGGGAAGATCTTGGTGAAAAAAGGTAGACCATAATCCCCTTCTCTGCCCGGGGATAGAACAAGACTACAGCCTATGATCGCACAGAATATTTGATAAAAAAGAAAAAAAAAAAAACAAAACAAGAACACGCGCGTAGGGAAGAACCTGCTGGTGGATCATAAATTAAAAAAGCTTTTCCCGTAATGAGCGAAAACCCAAGCCTCAGGAGGGCGCCGAGCATCCTGGGAGGTGTGTGGAAATGCACGCTCTTTATGTGTTGCCTTTGAGTTTGAATTCAAATGCTCGACAATGTACACGATCCCAGACGCTCCCAGAAGCTCAAAATTCTTGTTATCACCTTGTTTATGGCGACACAATGAGAGATAACGACGTGAGTTGAAAATGGAAAAATGGTGGACAATCCTCCATTACCAAGCGGCTGAATTACATTTGTGTAGCACACAATTTCTTGACAATATTTTTGATACAATATAGGCTGGCAAGTTGTTGAAGAGTGAAGACCCACTATCCCTACATAGTTTATTATTTTTTTTAACTGTTCAAGCACTTAAAGGAGGCATTCTTCCATATTATGCCCCCTTTGAGTTGATGCATTTCCTGGAGGTGAAACATGTATGCAAACTTATCCACAGAGTCTATAAAGTATTACCAAAAAAAAAAAAAAAAAAATCTTACATAATTCCAGCTCAGGATCAGAGAGGTTCAAGGGATTTTTTTTTTCCAATGCGTGACAACTTAACCGCATCTCCTTCCTAAATTTCAACTTTGAGCCAAGCATCACAGAAAAAGTGACACGCAGGGGGATTGGATGTAAATCCTTGTGCAAGCAGCCAACAGAGTGCAAACACACACACACACACACACACACACACACACACACACACACACACACACACACACACACACTCACACACACACACACAGTGAGATGCTGTGGCGTTACATAACATTATCAAACGGTGTTTTGATTAAAATTTGCCACCGTAAAGAGTGAAAGGCACTGCCAGCCAGCCTGATAATGAATTCACGATTAATATTTAACAATATCACGGATTCCCTTTCAAGTGCAACAGGGAGAGACAGGGCCACATATAATCCAACTGAATTTCCTTACCACGCACGAGAAGAAAGGGCAGGGGGGAGGCTTTGGAATACTCTAAGTAGTATACTGTGATTTTTTTTTTTCCCCCCTCGTCAAAAGATTGGCTTTGATTTCAGGGCGCAAAACAATAGAAAGGGTGCGGCTGCGCTAACCTTGCGTGGTTTCAACATGAGGCCACATGAAGAGACGATGGCTTCTGACAAGACAAATCAAACGCCCCACCTTGGTGGCTTGTTTGTTGCGGCTTAAACAGTGCAGCGGTACACAAGGCCTTTGGTTCGCAGAAATTTTGCATTTACAAAGACCAACTAGATTGTCACACAGTCGAGCATAAACATCTTCCAAGGCTAAACTTTAAAAACAAAACAAAAAAATCATAGAGCTGAACGTTTGGTATCGAACAGACTACTTCCTGGTTTGTGCTTGGACCACACCTTTCTGCCCCCCCCCCCAAAAAAAAAAACAAAACAAAAAAAAAAAAAAAAACAACAATCAACCAAACAACTAACTGACTGGCTGACTGACTCACTAACAAATGAACCGAGTAAGATTGCACCAGCCGTTGTTTGTTTATATTTTCAGTGACAAAATAGAAACTGGCAGCCCTATTTTCTTTCGGAGGCCACACCTTATCAAAGGTGCTTCCTCTGAATCCAAAAGAGGCGTTGAGCTTTGGTGGCATGATCTCACCATCCCCGAGGACAAACGCGACACCCTCCACTTTCTGCCAAGGTCAAGTGCCACGCATCCCGGACGGGTTTCTTTGTTTATGGCTTTATTTTCCGGACCACCCCTGTTTACCAACTGTTTCAGAGTCCTCCTGTTGCCACCGCGACTGGCCCTCACTTGCTAGTCAAGCCAAGAAGCTGGACAAGTTCTTGTCAGATTGAGTTTCAATTGATCTCCATTATCAGAGCGACTATCTCCGGCCTTAATGGCTTCTCTGAAAAGCCCGCCGCGTGAACTGGGAGAGACTTCCATAAATGGACTCCATCCCTGCCGAACACACGGATCTTTCTTCATTTGCCTCACATTTCATCACCATCGATTCGCTTTTCATGTCACATTTCAACCCGCGGGGGAAGTTCATTGTCCCATCTTGGCTTCTTTATTCCTCATCCTTTTATTTGGTGACCTGATGAAAAAGTCTCCTTTTCACAGCCTGGCACCATTTTGATCACAGTGCGAGGTCGAGAAGCAACGCAATTCTTTGCATACCCCGACAATACCTTGCAAAGTGAGCACTGGCTCTGGGTATCAAACTAACTGACCGACCAACTATCAAACGAAGGAACGAATTTAATGGCTTATTAAATAACGAACAAACTAACCAAGCGATGATTGGACAATTCATCTAATCCATCGAGCTAGCGAATAATCTATGGATCTAACAAAATAATTCACTGGATTATTGATTGGATGAACGGACTAATTTAACCATCTTTCGAGCAAACTAACTAACTAACTAACTAACTAACTAACTAACTAACTAACCAACTAACTAACTAACTAACTAACCAACGAATTGTTTGTTACCTAAAGAAACAAACAATTAGCCCCTTTCTTCTGTTGTCAAATAAGGAATCGAACTCTTGAGCTAACAGACTAACTAGCTTACCGGTAACTGTCGATCCAAACAATTGACTGAATCACTCACAATTTTTTTTTTGAGGGGGGGAAGGAAAAGTCTCCTTTTCACATTGCAGAAGAAGCCAAGAAGTGACACACTTCTTTGCGTCGAAACAATACCTTTCAAGGTCAGGATTTGCCACTTAGCCGCAGACCATTTGGAGACGTGACCGAATAGATCGTAGTCATGTGGGAGATTTCCCATTTTGGTCGCGAACGGAATGCTACGAGATAACTCCTGGGAAGAGAAGGCGTGGTCTGAAACCTCCAGTCGGGCAGCCTTGACGGGCCTCGAGTAGAGACACGTTTCCCCGCCTTTTTCAAATGCCGCTTTAATTCCCGCGGGCAGCTCGCTCGCGCTTGAATCGGCCCACGCGCTCAGTGAGGCTTACCGCGCCCGTGCCGAGTATTCTGTCTGCTTTCGGGGATCTAGAAGACGCGCTCCCGGCGTCAGATCGGAGGCTGAGCGGGAATGCGGAGAATAGAGGGATTTACAAGTGTGAAGCGAATCAACGTGTGAGCATCGCAACACTTCTCGAGGTCGTTGTCCCAGGCCTGGCTGAAGTGTTCTCACAAGGAATGTAACAAATGATCAGATCAATGAGCACGCTTTGCTCAAACTTTCCCATTAATCCATTGGTACCAACAACTAAATCCACTTGTAAAATTTGGTGTCAACAAAGAAGATTTTGAAATCTTCTTTGTTGACAAATTGACAAAAAAAAAATCCCCTGAAGAAATCATGGAAATCGATCAAATTTGTTTATGGAGTTAATCTTTTGCCTTTCTAAAAATGTTCTGATCACAACTTTCTTCTGGAAATGATGCCTTTTATTCTGGAAAGGGCACTTCTGCCCCAGGGGAAAAAAAAGCCTTTTTGCTTTGATGTACAAATGGGACCTAATTCCTGGAATAATATGCCTTTTGTTCTCACCCCGACCCCCTCCCGCCTCCTCGACTTTATTCAGGCAAGGAAGACAGATTCATGTGATGGTACGTCACAATTCTCGGAGCTTTTAACTG